GCGTCCATTTTGAGTCAATTTTGAATTTTTAATTAAGTTATCGATTTTACGCCAACATTTTTTGAATAAAATATTTGCGTTAAATTTGCGTTGATTTTGAGTTTATTTTGAGTCGATTTAGACTTTTTATTATAATTTTAATTTTCTTATTTCTTAAAGGGGGTAGCGGGTTAAGGGGGGTCTGGCGGCCCCCACCGAATCTGATAAAATCGTTCCAAAAATCTTGAAGAGGGTCGAAAAACAAGCAGTATAAGCTTTTTACCGACATTACAACCCCAAACGAAAACACAGTAATGGCGAAAAATATGATTTTTTGTGATTTTTATTTTTTTCAACCAGTTTAATTTATTTTTAAATGGTTTAAACGCAATTAAAAAACTGTTTTGGATGTATGGTAGTCCCCTGAATTTTTTCAGATTTTTTGGTCAAGTAAAAACATGTGAATTTTAGGTTTAAATGCGAAAAAATCGTGAAAAACGCGTCATTTTCAAGATTCAACCCTCTAATTTTTAGGGTTGTTTTCATTTTCAGGGGTGCTGTATAGTATAGATAGCGGCAATCGTCCTCTTTTGAATGCAGGCAACTGGACTCAATTTGGTCAATTCTGGTGAGCGGGGCGATTTTTTGAAAAAAACTCGAATTTTCAACTTTCGGTAAATTACGGCGCGTACTTGGTATAATGCGTCTTTGCTATAAAAAATACATCTCTATAGGGGTTTTTGAGGTCGCTGATCACGAAGTTGATGTCAAAAAAATTTTTTGACCACAAATTCACCCATAAATATTTATTAACACAGGTTTGATAATGTAAAAAATATCATTAAATCACAGCATTTAAACAATTTTAATATCGTGTTCAACTAATATAATCAATGAAATTAAATTTTCTGGTATAAATCATATTTTATTCAAGCTTACGTAATAGTCACACAGTAATATAAAATAGCATAATACTTTTTTACAGAGCTAAGTTAACAATTTTACTGTTTTAATCCTCGTCACTATCTTCTTCAATAACATGTTCAACGCTTTGAACAGAGAAAAGATTTGTGAGAATCTGTGCTGGACGAATAATTCGCGACAAATATCTTTGTTGTCAAAAAATTTTTTTGACATCAAATTCGTGATCAGCGACCTCAAAAACCTCTATGGAGATGTATTTTTTATAGCAAAGACGCATTATACCAAGTACGCGCCGTAAATTACCGAAAGTTGAAAATTCGAATTTTTTTCAAAAAATCGCCCCGCTCACCAGAATTGACCAAATTGAGTCCAGTTGCCTGCATTCAAAAGAGGACGATTGCCGCTATCCATACTATACAGCACCCCTCAGGAAAATGAAAACAACCCTAAAAATTAGAGGGTTGAATCTTGAAAATGACGCGTTTTTCACGATTTTTTCGCATTTAAGCCTAAAATTCACATGTTTTTACTTGACCAAAAAATCTGAAAAAATTCAGGGGACTACCATACATTCAAAATAAATTTTTAATTGCGTTTAAACCATTTAAAAATAAATTAAACTGGTTGAAAAAAGTAAAAATCACAAAAAATCATATTTTTCGCCATTACTGTGTTTTCGTTTGGGGTTGTAATGTCGGTAAAAAGCCTATACTGCTTGTTTTTCGACCCTCTTCAAGATTTTTGGAACGATTTTACCAGATTCGGTGGGGGCCGCCAGACCCCCCTTAACCCGCTACCCCCAAAGGCGTTTACTTTGCATTAAATTTGGGTTACTTTAGAGTCAATTTTGATTTTTTATTAGAAGTCGGTAAAAAAATAATATATTACATTTATTAAGTTATTTTTGGTTTTACATTAATTGCTTGAATCAAAAACAAATAAAAATAAATTATTAAACGTAATAATAAATGAATTTTTATAAAAATTAGTCTTCAATATTTGCGTTGAATTTACGTTCGTTTTGAGTAGATTTTGATTGTTTATTAAAAGTTGTTAAAACAATAATATATTAGATTTTTTAAGTTATTTTTGGTTTTAAATTAATTGCTTGAATCAAACACATAAAAATAAATTATTAAACGTGATAATACCTAAATGAATTTTTATAAAAATTCAGTCTTTAACATTTTCGTTGAATTTGCGTTCGTTTTGAGTTAATTTTGATTTTTTATTAAAAAACGGTAAAAAAAATTTTGTTTTAGGGTTTTTAAGTTATTTTTGATTGTACAATAATGGTTTGAATAAAAATTGTACAATAATGGTTTAAATAAAGCATATGAAAATAATTTACTATAAGTGATAATTAATTAATTTTAATAAAAATTCAGTCTTCAAAATTTGCGTTGAATTTGCGTTCGTTTTAAGTCAATTTTGATTTTTTATTAAAAGTTGTTAAAAAAATAATATATTACATTTATTAAGTTATTTTTGGTTTTACATTAATTGCTTGAATCAAAAATAAATTATTAAACGTAATAATAAATGAATTTTTATAAAACATTTGCGTTGAATTTGCGTTCGTTTTGAGTCGATTTTGATTTTTTATTACCAGTCGGTAAAAAATTAACCGCTTCAATTTATTTTTATAAAAATTAAATGTAATATTTGATTTTTACATTATTTTCTTAGTTGTAAATAACCATTTAGAAGAAGATATATAATAATTTGTTTATTTTTTGTTTTTCAGATATGCCTTTGGCAGTTCAGCGCATGAGAGCTGGCTTCGCAATTTAAATAATTTATTTCTTGTTTACTATTATAGTAATATATGTAGGAGATATATGTAGTGTATAATATACACTACATATATCTCCTACATATATTACTATAATAGTATTATAATAAATTATTTTTAGACTTTACACTAGAGTTTTCATTAAAATCCCAGCTTAAAAAAAACATGGACTGCGTCCCTGTCACGGTTGAGGGTGGTTAACCGTTTTGTAGCAAAGCTTGAGGTAAGTCTACAAAAAAAACGTGTTATCAATTAATCAATATAAATCAACCTTAAAATGCTAATATAGTTTATGGCAATAAGTTTAATTTGGGTTAAGAAATAAAAAACTTATCAAAATTTTGTGACAAATTTTACATTAAATGAATCGAAACTTAACGCAAACTTAACTTTAAGTAGACTTAAAGTTATTTCGTTAACTGACCCAAATTAAACGCAAACCTATCTCAAAGTTGACGCAAGTTTAACTTATACTTAACTTAAAGTAGACCTAAAGTTAACGCAAAACTTACCTATATTTAACGCAAACCTAACTTAAAGTTGACGTAAATTCAACGCAAACTTAACGCAAATTCAACCGAAACTTGACTAAAATTCAACGAAAAATAAACTCAAGCTTAACATAAAATCGTAAATCGGCACAAGACTGCAAATAATTACGTTGAATTTGCGTTAAGAAACGAGATTTTGACCCAAAATCAACGTTAATTTTGAGTTAATTAGGGGTGATACTTGTGCGCAACTTAACGTTAATTTTTCACTTAGTGAATTCGCCAGGGTCAGGTTGCGATCTACACTTGCGGCATGAATTTCTGTCAATAAGATTTATTCATAAAAAATCCCAGAAGTTTACCGACAGAAAAGTTACAGCAATTTGAAATAAATAAAACAGCGTTCCTTTAGGTGCTGCAAAAATATTAATACAAAATTATAATTTTTCACCTCAAAAAACCCCCGCCTACCAAATTTTTAATTTCATAATAAAGTTATAACTATAGTTTAAAAAAACGAAAATAAAATTTCATTTTCAACACCCTGTATTTCGGAACATTTGGGGACCCATATTTATATAAACTTCTTGCCTTAAAATTGTTGTTTTTATAAATTTAAATATGTCTGAAATTATTTCAAACGCATAATGGGTTTTGGCCAGGTTTTTAGTAAAATCCGACTGAGACGCCCTTATTATCAAACTTTCTATGCCTATATATTTTTCTTTACAATAAAATTTGTAAGCGCTTTTTTCCTGCCAGTCGCACCACTGTCAACAGTGATTTCACTAGTCCGCCTGTTGAAAATTAGTGTTGCTAGTCTGGCAGTGCCAGATCGTGAAAATTAAGGACATCCAAAATGCACGAATTACCTTATAATTGGATGGCGGATATCCCTATCCCTTTTCCTATCCCCGCAGGGACATGTCTGGGCAACAATGTGTAATTTTCCGGATTATATCTAGAATCCAAAACTGTTTTTTTCATCTCTTTTAAATTTAAAGTAGGTAGGTAACACCCCTTTAAAAAAATGAACCAATTTAATTCAATTTAACCCCCACATAGTAAGGGAAAATTAAAAAAAAAGTCAATGAAAAACTGGTAAAAGTCAGGGAAATTTAGTTTTAAAGAATGTGGCCACCCTGTGTAACCAGTCGATTTAAAGATTTTCTATCCCGTTCACAAAAGTTTTAATGTTTTATAAATTTTTAAGATAATGAAGAAAACATTAAAATTCTGATGGATCTTTTAATATTTTATACTTTTGATATTAATAAATATAACATTTTTAATAAGTTAAGGGTTATTTAATACACCAATAATAATTGTCTTTCAACGAAAGAATATTTACCATTTTTAATTTCAAATAATATTAAATAATATTAAGTTTCTTCATATACATTACAGAAGACTATATAATAGTCGATAATAGTTATTTATGTCAACAAGGCAAGAAGTGATAAAATATATAAAATTGGCTTTAAATTCCTTGTGGTAGTTGAAGAAAATATTGGTGAAAAGATGGGATTCCACTCGCGTGTTACCACGTGTTAAATTCCTCGTTCGAGGAATCTCCTTTCTCCCACTAGTCGCACAATACTATTTTTAAACATATAGATAATATATTTTTGTTAATTCGTCAGTAATAATAATTATTGCCAATTATTGCAATTATTGTTCGTTTACTTTTTTGCCTGATTTTAAGACCATATTATTATTAAATTAAAAAACTTGTCGGTCTTAAGACAGCTCACCCCCTCCGCCCTTACACCCACGGCACACTACTGTTAGTAAGTACCTAAGTAAGTTACCTATCAGTCTGTAACCAGCAGCAAAAGCTTTATCCAAAACATCTTCCACATTTTCCTTTTCTTTTATTCTTGACGTTCCAACTAAAAATGTATAAACATTGCATTGCAAAAATTTTACTCAAAATTTTATAACTCACGTCCAACCATAGGCATTAGATCACCACTTTTTAACTTAAACTTAAGATCTTTAGCTAATGTTTCCTTGCAATAGCAAAATTTGATTGTTTGAAGACAAACCAGCAAAAAAATAATATTTCTTAGATTATACATTTTATATGGTAGCTGTTCAAAATCACTTTTACATTTAATAGCGCCCAAGCCAAGTGCTTACTTTATAAGAAAATCAAGGTTATCAAGTCGCGTGTCTTATTTTTATCCATTAATTTTTATTTTAATTAAATATGTTCTTATAAATCTTGTTGGTCAAACTAATATCGAGTTGAATGGAATTAGTGACCTTACCAACAAAAACAAGTTTACATTTATCATAATATTTACTTTTTTAAATTAACAGTAAGTACCTAGGTACTTAATAGCTATTACATTAATATTATGTTTAGGCTATTGTTTCTGGATCTGGCGTGATTTTATTTTGTGGAAAGCTGTTTAAAATCTTTATTTCTTCTTCGGGAATTACAAAATTCAGATCAATATTTTGTTCCAAATGGTTTTGTTTGGTTGCTTTTGGAATCACGGCGATATTTTGTTGTACGGCCCATCTAAGTAAAATCTAAAAAATATGTGGTTGGCAACAAAAATTATTTAATTAAATTTATCTCTTACTTGAGCAGGAGATTTTCCCAATTTCTTAGCAATTTCACCAACTTTTTCATTTTTCAGTAGATTTTGATTACCAGTTCCACCCAAGGAGAAATAAGCTTGCATCAAAGTTTTATCTTTTTGAAGAAATTCTTTCAATTCTATTTGAGGATAGTTTGGATTGCATTCAACCTAAAATTAATTATAGGTATTCATATTAACATATAACAACAACATAACAATAATAATGGATAATTTTATGAAAACCATTTATGTATACTGATAGAAAATGGTTTTTAATATTTTTAGATTAAATTAATTTACCAAATATTTTGTATTACCTATTAATTTATTTATAATTACCTGATTGACTGCAGGTTTAATGCCATGATCATTTTTGGACAATTCAGTTAAATGACGAATATTGAAGTTGGACACACCAATACTTTTGGCAAGACCATCCTTAACACCCTTTACCATAAGTTCCCAACTTTTAATTCTGTTTTTTCCGTTTTTATCATCAGAAGCATTTGATAAAAAATCACCTGGCCAGTGAATCAAGTAAAGGTCTACGTATTCACAGTCGAGTTTTTTAATGGATTCTTTTAGGGATTCGTATGCTTTTCCTCCTAATTCAAATGGGGCTAAAATAGGGTAGGTAAGGCTATACTGATAAACTTAATTTGAATTATTTATTTTAGTTTAATTCAAATTTTCTGTGATCAGAAAAAGTATATATTAGGGTGGTCCATATTTTGAAAAATTTTGATTTTTTTTGCTCTCAGGAGTTCAAAGGGTTCGAAATAAATAAAAAAAAATATTTTTCAAGTTTCAAGTCCCTAACTTAATATTAACCCGTGCCGCATTGCAGTTTAAGTTTCCTATGTAAATAACATGGGATTTTCAGCATTGAATAATTAATTATTTATTCCGGCCAAAGCAACTGTCAAAAAAATTGAAACCTGGCAAAATTGAACCTTATAATAGTGGCTATTTCTCAGAATTTTTACAGATTTTAAGCTATTATAATTTTAAAGTTTTAGCTACATGATTTTCTTAAATTTAATAAAAATCATATAGATGAAACTCTAACAATATCATTGCTAAAAATCCGTTAAAATTCTAACGAATAGCTACTATTCTGACAAGTTTCAAATTTTTTGAACAGTTACTTTGGCCGGAATAAATAATTAATTATTCAATGCTGAAAACACCATGTTATTTACATAGGAAACATAAACTGCAATGCGGCACGGGTTAATATTATGTTAGGAACTTGAAACTTGGAAAATATTTTTTTTTATTTATTTCGAACCCTTTGAACCCCTGAGAGCAAAAAAAATCAAAATTTCTTAAAAAATGGACCACCCGAATATATATATATATATATATATATATATATATATATATATACATATATATATCCCAAAATTTTAGGAATTAATTTTCAAGGTCGTCAGTGTCCCAAAATTGGTTGCAAAACAAATTTGGCGTTTGGTAATTTTGGGATACCTCGTAAACACTGTGTTTTTTCCGGACCAGTCTCTTAAAATTTATTTACTAAATTTCTTAGTAGGTCGATTAAAACCGATCGTTTTAATAATAAGTTTATATTATTCAAAATAAAATATTTATTTTACCCAATTTTGTTGTGATAAAGATGTCTTGTCTTGTCAAATTATGTTTTGGCAAAAGAACTTTTAAAGCTTCTCCAATTTCCTTTTCGTTTTCGTACAATTTGGCAGTATCTTAAATTAAAGTTATATTGATTTTTTTTTATAAAAACAATTTTAATAAAAATAATTACCAATTAGACGATATCCAGCTCCTAAGGCTTTGTCCAAAACATCCTGAATTAACTCGCTTCCTTTTAATTGATATGTCCCAACTAAGAGGAAAATGATAAATTACAAAAACAAATACAAATATAATAAAGAAAATCTTACGTCCAATCATGGGCATTAAGTTGCCATCGTTTAGTTTGAATTTAAGATCTTTGGCTAATTTTAATTCATCACAAGAGGCAAATGCCACAATTGCCACAAAACATAAAATATTTCGCGCTTCCATTTTTTTTAAGTAAACTGTTGCACTGAAGGAATAAAATTGACGGTGTTTGTGTCGATAAATATCAAGAAATTCAAGGCCATCTAGTTTTATTAAATACATATCTTTTGCCGTTAATTATTTCATGTTAAGATTTATTTTTTATTAATTTATTAGTTAAAACTCAACACAGCTCAAGCTAATAAGTACTTAAAGGTTGTAACCTCTTTTTGTGAATGTGATTAAGTAATTGATGCTAATATATTATATCATAAAAAATTATATATTATAAATAGGTACACTTAATTTTATTACGCTTAATTTAACTTCATAAGTTTCATTTATTTATATCCTTGAAGAATCACTTAACAAGAAAATTGCTTGTAATTTAAATTATATATATATAATTTAAATTTAGAAATTTACTGTTCTTCAACATCTTTTAAAAGGTTTCTATTTTAAAATAAAGTCATTTGAAATAATTGTAACGTATAATAATTATTTCTAATTTGCTATTAATATAACCTATGGTAATAACACGCAAAGCAGACTCAGTATACAGCGCCGCAGATAACGCATAGCGGAAAGGTGCGGGCAGAAACAATTTGTATGAGTTCACGGCCTCGTTCAGGAAAATTTTAATTTAATAAATTGAAGTATAAACAATTAAATAATAATATTATTTATTTATTTAATTTCATGCCTCAATTTTTTTAACATGTGGGTAATATGTTTTTTGCTTAACCTTTCAGTGGTCGCGCACGGTGTCTGACACCGGGGCGATTTAAAATTAAACTAAACTTTGAAGATGGTGGAGATAAAAACTTCACCGCCCAGGTACCTTCCTAAATAGTGTACATGCATGCTCAGTTGCAATTTGGATGCGATTGAACATATTTATTTCGAATTATAGTGACTTCCGGTGTGTGAGACCGGGGTGACCATTCGTGTTACAAATAACTCGTGCTGCTTTGACCGAAATTCCACAAAATTTGAAATTTTCACTTCAAGAATTTTGTGGAATTCTCAAGAAAATATTACCCCTGGTAGATGTGCCTATTGCAATTGGAAAAAATATAGAAAAACTGGATATGTGTGTTTTAAACGTAATACCTACATGTTTTTTTTATAGGTTTTGCGATTTTTTTTTATAAATATTTACTATTAGTGAAGTTTTATGTGTAAAAAGGTACATATAGGTACAAAAAAGTGATAAGAAAAAATATATATTTTAGAAAATATAGGCAAAAAAACAAAAATAAATTAGAGCACATAATAGGCATTTGCCAATCTTGCAAGCAAAGTCCGTTCGAAGCTTAATTTTTCAATTTTTCTTTCACTACCGTATTAAATAAGGACCAAAAAATAATATTTTTTTTTATTTTAACTTTTTTAAGTTGCAATTTTATTTGTATGTTAAAAGTTTAAAGACCATTTTTATATGAATTTTATTTTTGTTTTTTGCCTATATTTTCTAAAATATATATTTTTCTTATCACTTTTTTGTACCTATATGTACCTTTATTACCCATAAAACTTCACTGATAGTAAATATTTATAAAAAAAAATCGCAAAACCTATAAAAAAACAACCCGGTGTTACAGACTATACTTGAAAAAAAAAATAGCGCGACCACTGAAAGGTTAAGCATGTCGAAGCCATTTGGGGCCCCCCCTAGCCGGGGGCCCCGTATCATCGATACGGCTGATACCGCGGTAGCTACGCCCCTGACTTTAGTACTATAGTACACATTGGGTACATTGTGTTATAGCAAGGGTATAGCACGATTATAATGATCGAACTGTATAATTTGTAAACGCTAAAATTTAAAAACTAATACAGGCATGATTTTAATATTTTTACACCATTTTTTTGGTATTAATCTCAATTCTGTACAAATTTTAATTCAATTGGCTCAGTGGGGCCATAAATGTTATGATATCCTTATTAGTTTTTTTTATGGAATTTGGCCACTTTTTTGCAATTCCTGTCCATTGCAGTGCAACGTGCACTTTAGCGATTGCCGCTAAGCGCGGCGTTAAACAATATTATTTATCGTAAAACCAAACCCTGGCGAAAATAAAGCGTGCATGAAAAGTGTACAATAAGTGTGTATTTGGAGTGCAAGTCTTAACAATGTGCATACACGCTACTTTGTGGTAATTTCACACTTTTTGAAATAATTAAGTTTTTTCACTCTTTATGTACATTGACATCACGCTTTTTATTTGTCATATGTCACGCTTATATTACATTATATTTTAGCACATTGTTTGCACAGTGTTAGTACCTTAGATCATACAAGGGGATACTTGATACTTAATCTACATCGAAAAATCATTATAACTTTAAAAATTTTAATAAATCACATGTCATGGGAGTATTAAATATTTTCACATTGCAAGTTTCTATAAAAATTGTTTGTTTTCTTATAATCCAGCTTAAAGTAGGTATGCCGAGAGGTATGCACAAGTTTTGTCATTAGAAGTATAAAAGCTTAAATTTAATTTGAACCATATTCAACAATTATTTAGTATATGTACCTATATTTATTTATGACCATTAAACACACTCTTCCAAATAATTCACTTATTTATTTTGGTCAAAATAGATTTTTCTAACCTTAAAATACAAAATTAGATGATATTTTTTTTTCTAATACATTAACCTACCTTTGATACAGATATTCTTATTTCATAATAGAGAAGTTGGATTTTTTTTAATAAATGCTGGTTAGTTAAAACTATTTTATGGAGAAATATAGACCCAATGCACAAAAATATCACTTATATTGCACCTTACACTTTGGAATTTCATTAAATGCAGTATTTATATTTCTAAATTCTTAAACCAACCATTGTTATTGTGATACTATAAAGATTTATTAACTTTTAACGCTTAAACATACGCGGTAACACTATAAATATTATTTCTTTCATTGACTATACTTTGACAGATACATAACCTGAAAAGCCTTAAATGCCAAATTTTCAAAAGACTGCGTTCCGTACGTGGTCACGTGGTAGGACTTTGAGGTGTGGAGCATAGTACCTACCAATACCTGTACAATTTTATTATTTTATCGATATCTGTTTTTGTTAACAAATATTTATATAAATCTTTATTCACAAAACATGCATGATGTCTTTGGATGATTTTAAAAATCCCCCCTTCCCTCTTCCTTTATAAATTTCTTTATTTTTATAATGATAGGTAGGTAGTTAAAAAATGGCGATCTATTATATTTTATAGGGATCTATTAGTTTTTTCTGTAAAACCTGTTACGCTTTTTTTCCCGCTGGGAACAACACTGGTCACATTTTATACACACTGTTCCCACTGGGAAAGAAACCTTACAAAATATTGCTGCAATGTTCGCCGACTTTACAAATAAAATATTTTCTGTGCTACTTGCATTAATTAACATAAATGAAATGTTACATTTAAAATATTGCATATAATAATTTCCAACAACCTTAAATTTGAAACATTATTTAAAGATTCACATGGAAAGTTTTTACAATGTTATATTTGTAACATTTAGTATAAAATGTTGCATACAAGTTTTTAAACATTACAATTATAATATTGCAGACATAACTTTATTTCAATGTTTCAATTGAAATTGAATTTGTAGACTTCTTGTAGATTCCAAATTAACATGGATAAGATATTTCTACTTGTTTGGTTGAAGAAGGCACTACTCGTTTATTTTAATAACTTTTATTGTAATGGTTTGATTGACAGTGAACTGTTTATTTATTTATTATTTGTTGCTAAGGTACAATAGAGTAATTGAATCAAAAATGAAAATCCCTAAAAACCTTTTTAATGTAATCTAGAGGTAAAAACACATTGCGAAAATATTTTTTTATATTCCAAAAGTTCAACCCGGTCCCAAAATATCAAATTGAAAAAAGGTACTTTTCAAACGTTTCCGAACTCCCGCCATATTGCATGACGTCATAAACTTACACCAGTGTCAGAAATCAAGATGTCAACAAATAATAAACACTGATAAAGTTTAACATGTTTTACATGTTTAACATGGAAAACGCGAAAAAATTGGTTGTAAATATTGTTTTGTGCCTTGTTGTACAAATACAACCTAGAAAACTCCTGGGAAAGTTGTCCCTTCAGTTATCAAAAGCAAAGTTTATGACCCTACACTGAGAGCCGTTACGGCTAAGCCGTATTTTCTTGAGTTTACTATTATTTAACATACCTATAGGTATATTCCAACCACATACCTAGTAAACGACATTATATTTTACTTACATTAAAATGATCCTCGCAGCAATATAATGTTGACTGCGGTGACGATGTTTTGATATCGCGCCGAGCTATTTTAATCCACTTTATCCTTATTTTCCCTTTTGGCACGGTGATAAACCTTTTCCCAGGAGTTTTCCAGGTTGTATTTGTACAACAAGGAACAAAACAATATTTACAACCAATTTTTGTTTTCGCGTTTTCCATGTTAAACATAAACTTTATCGGTGTTTATTATTTGTTGACATCTTGATTTCTGACACTGGTGAAGGTTTATGACGTCATGCAATATGGCGGGAGTTCGGGAACGTTTGAAAAGTACCTTTTTTCAATTTGATATTTTGGGGCCGGGTTGAACTTTTGGAATATAAACAAATATTTTCGCAATGTGTTTTTACCTCTAGATTACATTAAAAAGGTTTTAAGGGATTTTCATTTTTGATGCAATTACTCAATTAGCGTTAAAAGAGTGCCGAATATTCTCATATGAGACAGATGATAGGCAACTAACATTACAAATAACAAAGAAGTGTATCACATAGTTTTTATAAACATAAAATTATTCATACCGCCGCCCTTGAAAATACGTCGGTATCTTTCAATAGAAACTAAACGCTAATTACAAAAATCTTAAAGTAACATAGATGCTTGTTATAAGTTAAATTAACAATATAATTAGACTAAAAGTATACTAAGCATATATGCTTACAAATATTTATCAAAAAAGTAATAATAAACAACAAAAACAGTTAAGTCTATTTGAAATTTTCGTCAGAGATGGGGAGAAGACACACTTTAACTATGCTTCGTTTTAAAATGTTACCATTCGAAGTGCGCACACTAACAACACGGGTGATACCATCATTGCCTGGATGTAGAGTGACGATCCTTGCGGTGGTCCATTTGGATGGT